CCCTCCCCTCCCTCCCCTCCCCTGCAGGCCCTCTCACCCTTCCCAGCTCAGGACTACTCTCCTGTGAGGCCCTCCGTCCCGTGGACCCTGTACCCTGCCTGTGGCTGGGGTCACCCCGCCTGAGCTCAGCAGGCTCACTCCCCAAGAAGGAACCCCTGGGCCCACTTGTCCCCTAGACCCAGGCGCCCAGAAGGCAGGCCCCCGACACGCACCATGGAGTCGGGGAGCCAAGGCCAGGCCGCAGGGCCCACCAGGATGAGTCCCACAGGCTCAGCCCACGTCCTGAACCCAAGTGCAGAGCAAAAGGCACGTCACCTCAACACACCTCAGCTTCCACCCCCGTGACTGGGGAACAGGTTCCGGACGACGGGCCCGCGTCATCGGTTCTCAGCACCCCACGCAGCCCCATGGGACGGGACCTTGAGCTGTATGCCGGGCGCCTTTCCCTCCAAAGACCACACACATTCCAATCGCCACCCCAGCATTTGTTCTTCTTTGCTGATGGATGCTCACCCAGAATGGTGGGTGGAGGGAGGGCGTCGACTGACATAAGAAACCAGCCCCGGGCTGGCATCCCAAACACTGGAGCCCAAGCACCGCGTACTGTCCCGCACCTTGAACAAAAGCACGACGGCCACGCCATCCATCTGCAGTGCACAGCAGTGCCACCAGCGGCCATGCGCCACCACACGCGCAAAGCCTCGGCCTCCACAACTGCGCCCTGCGGGGGCTGCACAGGATGGTGGGTGTGGGAATCTTGAGTGGGGCGTCCGCAGTGTGGGGGGCCCCAGTACCCACATGGCAACTCCCAGAAGCTGCCTCCCCGCGACCCGCACCACGGCACAGGGCCACTGTGTTCCCCTGCCCCACGTGGTTCTCCCCACCACGCAGCACGGAGCCCGGTCCCTGCTGGAAAACCAGGGTAACAAACAAGGGCCCCAGCTCTTCCTGGGCCCCTCAGTGTCGAAAGCAGACATGCCTGTCGAGGACAAACCGGCAGCCTGTGCCTGCCGCCCACCTGGCGCATCTGCCGCTAACAGGACACAGGCCTCGCCTCAGCATCTCGAGGTGCAGGGGACAGCACGTGAGAGCCGCGCGCACGGAGGGGTGGGGGGACAGGTGCCAGCTCATCCCCTCTGCTCTCTGCTTCCTGACCACACGCAGGCCTCCCTCCTCCCACTGCACAGGCCAAGGTCCACAGCACCCTGGCCTGCAATCATGACCCCAGCACATTTAGGCCACTGCACAGGGAAGAGACCAGCTCACCTTCCAGAAATCTTCTCTGTTGGCCCACAACAAACCCTGCCATCACAATCGGGAACCAGTCCTGGGCCACTGTGGCGACAGTGCACTCATTTGAAACCCAAAGATGCATGAGGTTAGGTACACCTCCTCCAGAGCCACCAGGAACCCCCCCACCCCCCAGCACTGCACACATAAGGTCTCAGTCAGATGGCTTTACAAATCTCACTTTAAGAACACAGTGCTAGGAAAAAGGAAAACAGAATTAAATCCAGCCAGGATACGTGTTTTTGTTGATCGTCATTGAGAACACAACCCTGTCTAACTTCTAGATTCAGAACCCGGCCCCAGCAAGCCCCCAGGCACTGTGCTCTCACCCTGGCCGAGGTTGGCGCCTGGGCCCCGTGCGGACATACCCATCAGCCCTTGGGCTGCCTCCCCGTCTCCCATACAAGTAGCCAAGATCTATTGCCATGGCAGACAGAACGCTGCCTCTCCTCTCAGAGCATCAGAGATGAACTGTCAATAAGACAGCACTGGCATCTTGATAAAATTTCAAACAACTTTCCATTTTCATTCAAACTTCTAAATTCCCTTTAATTTGTAGACTTAACCACAGAACTGTCTTGATTTCTATAAGAGTTGATCCCGGGATCCACGCCCCTCTCCTCCTGACTTGGCAGGACGGCTGGGTCCAGGCTGAGCCTCTTCTTCCTCAACGGCACACAGGCTCCCCATCCATCCCCACAAGGGACGAGGCCAGAGAAGCAGGGCTGGGAGGCGCCCGGGGCTGCGACACTAGACAGGGCATGGACTTGCAGCATGGCAACGAAGACGACAGTGGAGATGAAGAAAAACGCAGACACAGGAGCGTGACCCTCTGTCCTTGTTGATTAAAACTGTTCCGAAAGCAATTCACACAATCTCTGAGAGACGGTTTCTCTACTCGTCCGCAGCGTGAGTCGGTACATCTGAAACAGAGGACACAGAAGGTCAGTGGCGGTGCCAGGGCAGACACTGCGGGGCCAGCCCCACCCAGCGGCCCCTCAAGGCCCCCTGCTCAGCCCTTCCCTGGAGGTGCCACTGTTGACAGGCTCAAGCATCAAACACGCTCTCAGTGGCAAAAATAATCCCACCCTGAGTGTTCCCCACATGAAATGAAAACATGCCCACACAAAGGCATGTCCGGATGTCTGCAGCAGCCGTATTCAATGCCTCCTGAAACAGGGGCAGCCTGATGTCCATCGACAGGAGGGCTGGGCAAACCAGAGTGGCAACTCCCCACAAAGGAGGGCCACGTGCTCCACGAGGACCCACCGTGGACACAGCAGCAACACGGTGACTGCTGGTGTCCGGGGCCAGGCGAGTCCCACGCTGGGCCACACGGCGCTGCCTCCTAGGGAGGCCGGGGCTGATGCGGGCGTGCCAGAGAACTTTCTGGGGCGATGGAAATGCTACACGCACCAACGGGTTGGTGGTGGTTATACAGGTGTACACATCTGTCGAAACACATCCAACTACCACATCTGGGATCTATCTGCATATCTTACTGTGTGTGAATTACACCACAGTAAAAAAAAAAAAAAAAAAGAAAGCGTATTCAGTGATTCCCTCAAGGGGCTTGACCTGGGCTTGCAGATTGGGCTCCAAACGCAGTAAGCATCCAATCTGGGTGGTTTTGGTGTGTATGATACCGGCTCCCACAAAGTTGGCAGGATTAGGATCGACTTCCTCTAGGAGTGCAGAACCAAAGCCAATAATCTGTGGGAAGAACCGGGAGAAACAGGAGCCCCTTGCATCGGTGCCAGCAGAGGTGGAGGGTTCTCCGAGGGGAGAAGCCGCCAGCCTCCTCTGGGGGCTCCGGTCATGTCCCAACCCTGGGAACGTCCCCAGCAAGACCTTTACCTTGGCTTTGGTGATCTCTGTGTCCATTGGATGCTTCGCCTTGAAGATATTCTGCACTTCCTGCTGGGGACTGTGGGAAACAGAGGCCAGCGCGAGTGCCGTCAGCTGAGCCAGAGCCAAGGCCCCCCCGCCCACCCGGGGGGACAGGGCGCCACTCACTTGCTCAGCTGCTTCCAGCGCTGGAAGAAATCCTGAGAAGCCATTTCCGTGGGCTGAAAAAACTTGTTGAGTGTGATAGGCAGCTTCACAGACACATTCTGAAAGGTTCCCCCATACCTGTGAACAACACAGAGGCACGCTGGGAAGAGTCCACGTCCCGAGTGTGCCACCTCCAGGGCACAGAGGGGCCGCGCGCGAAAGGCGGGGCGGAGAGATCTGGAAGGGCAGCCCGGGGCTCCAGGGAGGCTGGTCCAGCTCCGGCGCACCGTCATTGATGGCCGAGGACTTCGGGGAACGTGCCCCCGCCACCCCCGGCCGAGGCTGCCAGGCTGGTCGCACCGCCAGGGACAGGCGCTGCCTCTTCCCGTTCCCCAGCAGTCCGTGTCCTACAACTCCAAGTTTAAATCATGTGGGTTTTTTCTTTTTTCCATGAAAAGACTAAAAGAAAACAGTGTGCCTACGGAATGAAACAAAAATTCTGCACGTCTATTTCCCTAAATTTTACAAAGTACACTATCTGCAGGTCTCTGTATACTTTGTATTTGGAAAGGTGCTTTTTCAAAATTTAACCTTACAAATACCCAACAGGGAAGGCTGGGGTGCACACACACTCTACCGCAGTCACTGAAAGATGGCAGGAACGAGCCAAGAAGCAACACAGACACGTCAGAAAAAAAGAGTCAAGCTGGCGTGTACGCTCAAAGTACAACACACAGGTGCTCACACACCAGACGAGGCCCTGGCGGGCCCAGCACCGGGTGGCTGGCCTCTGGAGCAGCAGGCTGGGCAGCGCCCGCAGCGGGACAGGCCCCTCAGTCTC